GTCAGGTAGCTGCGTCAGGTGAGGTAGCTGCGTCCTGTTCATGTCGGCTCCTCACGCACCCGGCTCTGCTTTGGCACCACCATCTTGGTCACCCCTCCCAGCTGCGTCTGCGCAGCATGCACTCCCGTCTCCTTGTCTCTGGTCTCCCCAGGTCCCTGCCCCCGCTCCCGAGGTCGCTTGCGCCACCGTGCCTTCCCTGTGTCGACGGGCGGCAGCGCGCCGCTCTCACTCCTCCTCGTTTCCTCTGACCACAGCTCCTCTGCAGACCCTCCACATGGACGTGTGGGGTCCAGCCCGTGTCACTGGACAGGGCGGAGAGTGCTACTTTTACTGGTTGTAGACGACTACACGCGCTACACCACGGTCTTCACCTTGCAGAGTAAGGCGGATGTCCGCAGTGTGTTGATCCCCTAGATCCGTGCTCAGCGCTCAGTTCCAGCACGACCTCCCGGTCCTGCGACTGCACTCTGACCGAGGTGGTGAGTTTTCCTCCCACCTCCTAGATGACTTCTGTGGTGATGAGGGCATCATCCAATCGTTCACGCTTCCGGCCTCTCCGCAGCAAAATGGGATTGTAGAGCGCTGCATTGGCTTGGTCATAGAGCTTGCTCGCACCTCCCTTGTCCATGCGGCTGCTCCCCATTTTCTGTGGCCGTTTGCGGTCCGATACGTCGCTGAGCAGCTCAACCTTTGGCCCCATGTCTCCCACCCGGAGACCTCCCCTACTTTGCGGTGGAGGGCGAGGTTGGTGATGCGTCGGCGTTTCGGGTCTGGGGTTCCCTCTCTCTTGTACGCGATCTGCCCGCGGGCAAGCTCTCTCCATGCACTCTTCGATGCGTGTTCCTCGGCTTCCCCACCGACGCACCGCCCTGACAGTTTTACCACCCGGGCTCTCGTCGTGTCCTCTCCTCCCAGGACGTCACATTTGACGAGTCTGTCTGCTTCTACCGTCTCCACCCCCACCGCAGTTCCCCCGTGCCCCTCCCGCCTCTCTCCTTGGTACCCAACCCCCCCCCCCCCCTCGGTAGCCCCCCCTCCCCCCACAGGGTCCTGCTCCCCCAGGTGTGTCTCAGGTAGACCCACCCCCCTTGGTTGAGCCTTTGGAGGTCTCCTCTGACACCTCTGGCCGTGCTGAGGGGGGTGACCCTACTGCTGCCGACACCGTGGCCCCTCGCCACTCCGCGCGCTTGGCGGTCCCTCCCGGGTTTCCGCCTCGACCGTCTTCACCGCCACAGCAGCCTGTTGCTGTGGACTCTGGTGCTGCTGGAGGTGGTGACACTGGGGGTGCTGGCTCTGGGGGTGCTGCGAGTCCTCTGGGTACAGGAGGTGCTGGAGGTGCTGCTGCTAGGGGGTGCTGCGGGTGCTGTTGCTGGTGGTTCTGGTGCACGTTGGCAGGAGCCTCTCTCGCCAGAGCCGCTTCGAGAGTGGGCTGTCCGGTGGGTCAGCCCCGGTGGCGGAGCTAGCCGTGCTAGAGCTGGAGGTGCTAGTGCTGGTGTTCCTGGAGTTGGCCGTGCTGGAGGTACTGGTGCTGGAGTTACTCGAGTTAGTGGTGCTGGAGGCACTGGTGCTACTGGAGGTACTGGAGGTACTGGTGCTGTGGGTGCTGTTGCTGGTGGTACTGGTTCACGTCGGCAGGAGCCTCTCTCGCCGGAGCGGCTTCGAGGGTGGGCTGTCCGGTGGGGCAGCCCTGGTGGCGGAGCTGGACGTGCTGGAGCCGGAGGTACTGGAGGTACTAGACCTGGAGGTGCTATTGCTAGTGTTCCTGGAGTTGGAGGTACTGGAGGTGCTGACACTGGAGGTGCTACTGGAGGTACTGGAGTCCTTGGTCCTGGTGCTAGTCGGCAGGAGTCGCTCTCGCCGCAGCAGCTTCGCTAGTGGGCTGTCCGTTGGGGCAGTCCCGGTGGTGGAGCTGGATGTAATGGTTCTGGGGGTGCTGTTACTACTGGAGCTCGAGGTTCTGGGGGTGCGACTACTCAGCCGCAGCCGTTTGCGCTTAGTCACCTTCTCAGACTCTCGCATGCTGTTACTGAGTTCCCTATTGCTGGCACTACTCCTCCGTTACTGTTTCCACCGCCTGACCGGTCTCAGCCACCGCTACTGCCTCACTCCCCACTGCCTGCTCATGCTCCTTACACTTCGGTGACAGAGTCCCTCACTGAGAGTAGAGAGCATGCGTCGCGTCCTGTCACGCCTGTCCGTACTCGTCGTGCTGTGCGTCCTCGTCCTCCACCTGTCCCTGGCACGCACATCATAACACTTCGTCCTTCCTCTGTTCCACAGCGTGTTGTCCTGCCGTCGCCTCCCGCGTCTTCTCTTCCTCACGTTCCTAACCCTGAGTCTGACCTTGTCCGTTCTGCCAGTCCAACTGTCACTCGTCTACTTGCCACGGTTGTGACTGACCCTTCCTTTGAGTCTGCTCCTGCGTCTGCCTTAGTTGCTGAGCTTGTTGACTTTGCTGCTTTGTGCCGCCTTGACTACGCTGCGAGTCTTGTGTTTGACTCTTCCTGTCCTCCGTCCGTCGGGGGTGAGCTTGCCCTTGGCTGTGACGTTCTTGAGGACAGGCAGTTTGAGCTGGAGTGCCTAGCGGCCGCTGCACCTCATCTCGCGTCCACGCTACTTTGCCCTGAGGGAGACCCGGATGCACTGGACATCCCGACCCCGCGTTCTTACGCAGACACGATCACGGGTCCGTACTCCTCTCAGTGGCAGATAGCCATGGACGCAGAGATGGCTTCCTGGAAGTCCACAGGCATGTACGTCGACGCAGTTCCCCCACTTGGGGCGAACATAGTCGATGGCATGTGGATTTTCAGGGTGAAGCGGCCACCGGGTTCTCCGCCTGCCTTCAAGGCGTGTTACGTTGCACGAGGCTTCAGTCAGCATGAGGGGGTCGACTTCTTCCAGACCTTCTCCCCCACCCCGAAAATGACCACTCTTCGGGTGCTACTGCACGTTGCAGCATAGCGCGACTACGAGCTGCACTCCCTCGACTTCTCAACAGCCTCCTTGCAGGGCAGCCTTCACGAGGCTATCTGGTTGCGCCGCCCACCTGGCTTCACGACTGCTGACCCTTCGCTGTTTCTGCGCACAGACACTTCTCTGCCGTTCTACGTTCTAGTGTACGTCGACGAATTGGTTTTTGCTACTGCTGACACTGAGGCACTGGCCCTAGTGAAGACGGAGCTGCAGGAGAGACACACCTGCACTGACCTGGGTGAGCTGCGGAGCTATCTTGGCTTGCAGATCACCCGGGACAGAGCACGGCGCACCATCACTCTCACTCAGTCACACATGGTGCAGCAGGTCCTTCAGAGCTTCGACTTCTCGTGGTCCTCACCACAGTCCACTCCTCTGTCTACAGGCCACTCGCTCTCAGCTCCACCTTCGGACGAGTCCGTAGAGCCGAGTGGTCCGTATCCATAGCTTCTGGGTTGCCTCATGTACTTGATGACGTGCACACGACCTGACCTCGCGTACCCTCTCAGCCTCCTGGCTCGCTACGTGGCTCCCGGTAGACATCGGAAGGTGCACTGGGAAGCTGCTAAGAGGGTACTGCGTTACTTGTGCAGTACATCGGGCATGGGGCTTGTTCTGGGAGGACAGGGTTCAGTTGTTCTCACCGGTCACTCAGACGCTTCTTGGGCTGACGATCAGACGACTCGCCGGTCGAATCAGGGGTACAGTTTCAGCCTCGGCACTGGTTCTGTCTCGTGGAGGTCCACTCGCTCGTCTTCTGTACTTAGTTCCAGCTGTGAGGCCGAGATCTACGCTGGGGCTATGGCTGCACAGGAGCTCCGCTGGCTGACCTACCTGCTGACCGACTTGGGTGAGCGGCCTCGTTCTCCTCCAGTTCTGTACGTCGACAACAAGGCCATGGTTGCCTTGTGTCAGGACCAGAGACTGGAGCACATAACGAAGCACATTGCTCTTCGTTACTTCCTCACGTGAGAGCTGCAGCAGCGTGGTTAGCTTCGTCTTGCTTACGTGGCCATACAGGCCAACACTGCTGATGTCTTCACCAAGGCCCTTGGGTCTGGTGATCATCAGCGTTTCTGCACTGCTCCTGGGCTTGTGCCCACTCTGCCTCACATGCTTGTCTCTTGATCTTGCCTTGCACTTGTTGTACTCTGATATATGTGATTATACCTGCATGTTTGCACTTGCTAGGTTATGATCAGTGTACTGCAATTGCTGTTATAAACTCTGCATATGAACTGGCCTTGTGGTCGCTTGCTTGTGCTCAGAATGCGTGGTGATATTGAGATCCGCCCTGAGCTTTGCTTTGCTTTGTTCTCTTGCTTGACTGGTCTTGTGACTGTTGGTTGTGTTTCCTATCCCCCACTTTGCCTATGGGGGTGTGTCAAATTGCATTTGTATGTCTCTAGGCTGTAGTGGGGCATACTCTAAGGGGTACAACACTTTAGGTCAACCCTACTTGTATCACCCTGCTGCATAATCCACCACATTCCTGTTTTCTACTTTGACATGCTGCTCAGAATTCAGGTGGCGGATCAAAGATGTCGTGAATGTCGTGATCCTGCCTTGGTGACCTACGATTATACCGGGTAACCTACACCCCATGCGTGCGGCCCGATGCGCTTCCTATAGGGTCGAATATCTACATTCGACCTTGGTTGTGTCATTGTGACTTTGAAAAGGAGAACTGCGGTTCGAACTTAGATAACAGCGAAGGTCGCCTACAGTTCGCCCTAAAATTATAAGCTACATTCTACTTTAAATGTAAACTTGAAAGATTTTCATTTGTGAGTTTGTTGGAACGTGTGGTTGAGACCATAAGAACGTGACACATTCATCCAACAATTCACGCGAATGGTAAAAAGCGGTGCAAGCCGAAAACCGTGCTTAAACGAAATCAACCGTATTCAACCACGTCAAACGAATCAGGAAGAGAGAAAATATTACCCCTTAACAGAATTGAAACCCTTGGCCACAGTTTACACGGTGACGATCGGCGATAGCGGAAGGTATCGGCAGTCCGCATGGCGGCGACACGGGATGTGGAGATGCACCCGACAGGGCGGAAAGGAATTGATTCGAGGCTGCAGGTGGTGGAGAGCGTGGTGCGGCTCATGGGCGCTCGTCTCAACGAGCTGAGCGCGCAGCTGCGGGAGCAAGCCGACGAGACGAGCGCGCTGCGACGAGAGATTCGCGAGCTTAGAGGGGATGCGACAAGGGGAGAGCAGACGAGGATCGAATCAATCGCAACGGAGAGGAACGCCGGAGAAGGAGGGTTAGAGGGAGGCCATGGCGAGTCAAGCGAGGCAGCGATGCAGCGGCAGCAGAGGGCCACGGCGGGCGCGCGAGCGACGCTGGCACTGTCGGAAGCGCACTGGAGGCACGAATCAGCGGAACGGCGGGCGGAATTGGAGGCGGACGGATGGGCGGAGAAGGAGGAAGGGGGTGAGGCGGAGGCGGAGGCGGGTGAGGAGGGCGCGTGGCGGTGGCATGGGAGGCGCATGATGGCGGTGAAAGAGGAGGCGGTGCACGCGAGTGCGGCGGAGGAGGAGGGGCACGGTCAGGCGCCGGAGGGCTGGGAGAGGAGAAGGCGGAGGAAGCGCGAGGAAGGGAACTCTAGCGAGATGGCGGGTGCGGCCTGGGGGGCTGCTGATGTTGCGAACGGGGTGCGCGGAGCAGGGCCGTGGCAGCACGGGGGACGGGAGGGAGCAGTTGGTGCTGCAGGCATGGCAGGGGGTGCTGCAGGCACGGCACTGGACGAGGCGCATGGGGTGAGGCAGGCGGTGGGTGAGATGAGGGCGAGAATGGGCCGGCTGGAGACGAGGAGTGACGAAGTGGTGAAGATATGGGAGGTGAGAGCAGGGATGGTGGAAGGGTTTTGTATCTGAGAGGATCGAGTTCTTGTGGAGGGTTCTGTGACATGGATACAGTGAAGGCCTGCATGGGGAAAGCACGTCTGCACGTCATGCGCACATGTGCCACACGTGCAAGTCACACGTTACATGCAGCTGTGCCCCATTTATTTATTCCCATAATCACCCTCACACAACCCATGCTCCTCCTTGCGCCCATTCCTCTTTTCATGGCCCCTGGCTCTTCCCGCCCTGCCCCTTTCCTCCGCCCTGCCCCTTTCCTCCACCCTGCCCCTTTCCTCCACCCTGCCCCTTTCTCCTGCTGTGCCCCTTTCCTCCGCCCTGCCCCTTTCCTCCACCCTGCCCCTTTCCTCCACCCTGCCCGTTTCTCCTGCTGTGCCCCTTTCCTCCGCCCTGCCCCTTTCCTCCACCCTGCCCCTTTCCTCCAGCATGCCCCTTTCTCCTGCTGTGCCCCTTTCCTCCGCCCTGCCCCTTTCCTCCGCCCTGCCCCTTTCCTCCGCCCTGCCCCTTTCCTCCGCCCTGCCCCTTTCCTCCGCCCTGCCCCTTTCCTCCGCCCTGCCCCTTTCCTCTGACCCGGTGCCCCACCGTGCAGGCGCTGATCGCGGTGTGGGTGGCAGTGGCGCCGCAGAAGCTGGGCATGAAGCTGACCGGCATCTCACTTCTCTCTGACGCCGCGCTTGCCCCGCTGCGCCACCTGCAGTGCCTCAGGAGCATCAGCCTGGAGGGCTCCTCGGGCTTCACTGCAGCGGGCGTGCGAGACCTCTTCGCCTGCTCGCACGTGGGGTGGCTCAGCCTCGCCAGCACCGCGGTCACGGACGCAGCGCTGGAGGGCATCACCCAGCTGAGGAGGCTCACGGACCTCCACCTGTCGCACTCGATCATTACTGATGTGGGGGTGGCTCACCTGGAGGGGTTGCCGCAGCTGCACGTGCTGGTGCTCACTGGGTGCCGTCGGGTGACGGCTGCGAGTATGGTGCACGTGGCACGGTTGGGGACGGTGGAGAGGTTGGAGCTGAGAGGCAGTGCGGTGGGAGAGGAGGGGCTGCAGCACTTGACGGCGCTCACCCGCCTGAGGCACCTCTCCGTGCCGCCGGGCGTGAGTGACTGTGGCATGAAGCACGTGAGGGGAATGGCACGGCTGGAGAAGCTTGGCTTGTGGGATGCTGAGGTGACTGCAGCTGGTGTGCACTGCCTCTGGAACCTCATCCGCCTGCAACAAGTGGCAACAAATGATGAGCGCATTCAAGGGTGGATTACCACTGTTCTGCCCCATGCTTTTGTAGGAACAGAGCTTATGTATTTTTGAATGACATAACATAACGTTTTCAGGTTGGAATTGTCAGAACCAAGTGGCAGGAATGATGGACTAAAATGAATGACAAGTACCGTATCACCCCGGATATAAGCGCACCTGCGCTTATAATAAAACTAGATTTTTCAGGGGGGTGCGCATATAATTGAGTAAAAAATATAAGCGCATGCGCTTATAAAATAACAAGTATACAATTTTAAACTACTAGCACGAAAATGTAGTTCGCGTCATTGCGAACCCAATCGAGTCTATTTGAAACAGGGTTATGGGTGAAAATCTCTCGCTACTTGGCAGGGAAAGATTCCCCGCCAGCACATACGGTACCGCGCATCTCCCGGCTAGAAGCCCCGGCCCGGGGCTTTTATGGCATATAGTGCATAAGACCCTTGGACATCTATTAATTACTAAAAAATGGATTGTGTAGTGCAGTGTTGAAGAAATTCGAAAATTTCTGTACTGAATTTTGGATTCCTTCACAGCGCGGAAATTCATTCTCAGATTCTCGCACTCGAGTCTCCCTGATTCATTTCCGCACGTTCAGAAATGCCGAATAATGAAAGGCACGTCAGCATTTCTTGCCTGAAGGGCGGCAAAAACGCGTGATTGATGTGGCATCTTGACTCCCTTGACCACAAATTCGCCTGACAAAGTGAATTTGGTGGTTTTTTGTGTGACTCGCTAACCAGCTCATGATAGCCTGAGGGAGGGGGGGTCTTATAATGATTTGGGTCAAAAGACGGGTCCTCTCCAGGACTGACCTAATAAAAGACCCCTTGTCCGGATAGAAGACCCACGGGGCTTTTATGCGGGAGGGTCTTGTAACCGGGAGATCACGGTACACTCAAAATGCGTCACTAGGAGCTTCTGACAGCACATGCTGACTAGACGCGCAGCCTGCAGGGCTTGAATGTGAAGGAAATATGATTTTCAAGTCATCAGCTTGCTAAATCTTAAAATAGGCTAGGAAACAACTGTCGAGAGGATTGTGGTGTAAGGAGCAACAAGGAGATACAAATGTCGACCTAAATTGTTGTACCCTTTAGAGGGAAACTCACTGTAGCCTATCTAACAATATATAGAAGATATAAACATTTGACACACCCCCATAGGCTAAGTGAGGGGCATCAAAACAACCAAGGGGAACAAAGGGTCACAAGACCAGTCAAGAACAAGCATAAAAAACAAAGCTCAGGGTGGCGCTCAGAGTCACCACACACTCCGAGCACAAGCAAGTGGCCACAAGGCCAGTTCAAGAGTTTACTAGTATATATAGAAGCACAACCAGTAGAGCAAACAGCAAGTCTACAGCAACCGAGGGCCTACCTCAACAAGCCCCAACTGCACACAGAACCTGTGGTGGTCACCAGGCGCCAGGGCCTTGGTGAAGACGTCGGCAGCGCTGGCTTGTGAGGCCACAAAGTCCAAGCGTGCCTGGCCGCGTCGCTGCAACTCTCGCAGGAAGAAGTACCTGACGTCAATATGCTTCACTCTGCTCTCCAGTCGAGGCTCTCGGCACAGGAGGATCATTGCCTTGTTGTCAGCGTACAAGGTCGGTGCAGAGCGAGGCCGCTCATCAAGGTCGGCGAGCAAGAAGGTCAACCAACGAAGCTCCTGTGCCGCCATGGCACCATCGTAGATCTCTGCCTCCGCACTGGACGAAGCCACAGACGGCGACCGTGTAGACCTCCACGACATAGCACCAGCACCCAGACTGAAGCAGTAACCCTGAGTCGAGCGCTGAGTCTCCACGTCGTCAGCGTAGGAAGAGTCGCAGTGACCGGTCAACACAACTGGTTGTGTCCCTCCAAGCACAAGCCCCATGCCTGATGTAGTCGCCAGGTACTTCGCCACCAGGGCTGTCGCTTGCAGGGCGTTTGCCCTCCTGGACCTTGAATTACAGGGCTGGGTTGCCTTTGAAAGCTGAAATTGATGGGTTGGAAATATTATGGCCCTGATTCTTTACAGGGCTGATTTCGGGCTTAGGCCTGGTGTGTAAAGGGTAGATTTTAGGCGAGCCCTGGAACAAAATCTTTCGAGCCCACCATCCCCCCCCCCCCCCCTCCGCCCTCCCAACACTCACCACTCTCCTCTCCCCTTCGTTTCTAACCTGATTGCATCTAACCTGGCAAATTTCGAGTTGCGTGGTTGGGCCACAAATTCAACTCAACCTAGAACTTGTGCTTGACCCAATCACAGCTCGCTCTCTGTGGAGTGGGTAGGTTAAGGTTGGGTAGAAGTGCACAAGAACTATCCTGTGGAGTGGGTAGAAGTGCACAAGATCATCAGTTCTGCAAAGGCTAGGAAGCCTGCAAAGCGTGCGTAGTGATGTGACGCTAACTAATTCTCTTTATGTCGTGTTTGCTTGTTGTGGTTCATCTCAGACGTAGTTGTTAGCTTGGTAGTTGAAATGAGGCTCCAGAATTTTCCGCGCCAAACCTGATTCAAGGGAGGAAAATTTTCCAGCTCTGAAGCCTAAAGGGCCGAGATTCCCCCCAACCCTGCTAAATACAGGGTCATACATCTCGGCCCCCCTGATTTGTCTGGGGGGCCCAAAACGAAAGGACAGGCCTTTTCGCCACCCTCACAGCAGCTGTCCAGTGAACAGGACGGTGTCTCCCAGTCGCAACAAAGCGAGAGAGGACGCTGAGGGGAAAGGCGAGGTCCGGCCGAGTACAAGTCATCAGGTACATGAGGCAGCCCACGAGCTCTGCGTAGGGGCCACTAGACTCAAAGGGCTCGTCGGGAAAAGGGCCAGTGAGTCGGTGGTCAACGGCAAGAGGAGTGGACTGTGTGGTGGAGAACTGAAAACCGAACCGCCGAAGGACCTGCTGCACCATGTGTGACTGAGTCAGTGTGATGGTGCGAGCGGCTCTGTCCTTGGTGATCTGCAGGCCAAGGCAGCGCTGCAGTTCACCGAGGTCAGTGCACTTGTGTCTCTTCTGCAGTTCGGATTTCACCTCAGTCAGAGCTGCCCTGTCTGCTGTAGCAAAGACCAAGTCGTCGACGTACACTAGTATAAAGAAAGGAGTGGAACCAGTGCAAACAAACAGCGACGGGTCGGCAGAGGAAGGACGAAACCCAAGGTCACGAAGCGTGGCACAAAGAGTGTCGTGCCACTCACGGGGCGACTGGCGGAGACCGTAGACTGGCCGCCTCAGGCTCCACTGGGTCCCAAGTGGGAAGGTGTCAGTGAAGCCAGGAGGACGCCGCAGCCAGATCTCCTCGTGTAGTCGGCCCTGGAGAAACGCAGTAGAGAAGTCAAGGGAGTGCAGCTCGTAGTCTCGCTGTGCTGCTACGTGCAGTAACACCCGAAGAGTAGTCATGTTCGAGGTCGGGGCGAAGGCCTGGAAGAAGTCAACTCCCTCACACTGACTGAAACCCCTAGCCACGTAGCGCGCCTTCAACACAGGCGGTGAACCAGGTGGCCGCTTCACCTTGAAGAGCCACATGCCATCGACAACGTTCGCCCTGGGAGGGGGAACTGCGTCGATGTACTTGCATGTGGATCTCCAAGACGCTAGCTCTGCATCCATAGCCGCTTTCCACTGAGAGGCCCACTCCCCTGACACTGCCTCACGGTACGTGCGAGGTGTCGGTATGTCAAGAGCGTCGGGGTCTCCCTCAAGGGAAAGCAGCATGGCGCAGAGAGAGGGGGAAGCGGCTGCTAAGAACTCCAGCTCAAACTGCCTGTCCTCTAGGACATCACAGCCAAGGGCATACTCACCCCCGACGTGTTAGAGACTAAGGACGGAGTCTATGAAGATTAGGTGCCTAAATTTCTCAAAATCGTTGGTCCCTATTTCTGGACAGAATAGTTGCGCTCACAAGAAACGCCGTCGACGAAACGTGCACAGTCAAAACTTCACTAAACTCATATATGTTGTAGCCCTACTCCGTGGCTACAATTCCCAAGTTGAAACGTATCAAGATGTAAAGTAAATCTCGACTTATCAATTTCGGCGCACAGGGGGGTATGCTGCCATAAGAACTTAACTCAATCACAAAGTTCACACAAGTTCACACAAGAGAATTGGAGTAGCACTAAACCAGGTGGAAGGGATGAGGAGGACGAGAGGGAAGGTCCCAAGAGAGTCCCCAACCAAGGAAACCCCATGCCATACAATTCCCTTCCCCATAGGCAACCCAACTTTGACCTTTGTCACTATCCCAACCTCCACAATCCACCTCAACCCAACTTGGCCACACTTGCCAACCTGGTTTGGTTTCTCCCAACCATTTGGCAGCAACTACAGTAGAAAAGACGAATTTCCCAACCCCCAAAAGTCTGTACCCCATATTGAGTCAACCCCACAACTTCCCATAGTCACCACAACCAAATATCAAAAGCATACGAACTCCAACGTTCGTAACTTTCTTGTTCGTGCTCCGATTGAAGCGATACTTGGTTCCTCGGAAAGCTCTTGAGCAGAGGAGTCACTTCAGATATCTGCTCAAGCCAAATAACATTCACACACACACTCAGAAAAACCAAACCGCACAAAACACGCATGCAACGCACGAACATATGATGGGAGGCAGACAGACGTGAATGCGAATGGTAGCATCACTCAACACGACGGACAGAGGACGGGGAGGTGGAGCAGCCACCACACGCGTGGCGTAGTCAAATCGGCGGGTGGAAGCAAAGTCAGCGACAGCGGCAGTAAGAGCCGAGACAGACGACGGAGAGGCACGAGGGTCGGTGACAAGAGAGGCGAGAACACGAGAGACAACAGGGCGAGCAGCACGGTAGTAGTCAGTGATAGGGTGAGAGGAAACGGTGAGAGACGACGCAGGAGGTGAGGGGAGAACAGACACAGGCGGAGAACGACGAGGAGGAGAACGAAACAAGACAGTGCGGAGGTCGGCAAGAGGAGACGAGGGCCGAGCACGCGGAGGACAACGACTGGTCCAGTCGTGCGGGACAACAGGAGGAGACGACCGTGACTGAGGAGGAGAGAAAACAGCCGGAGTTGAGTCCGGAGGAGGAAACG